CCAATGAACTCATAGTTCATTGACTCTTCTTGGCACTCAGTAACTGTCTGCCCATCTGGAAGGTATGGACAGACAGCTGACTTAGTGTCTGCAGGACCTTAGCATTGCTCCCCCACTGTCTGCTCAGGTGTATTGCCTTACAGGCTACAGTGTAAAAAATACAAAATGCAAAAAATGTTTGCGTGCAAATATTTTGTGTGCATGTATGTAATATATGTGTGTGTGTGTATATATATGTGTGTGTATATATATATATATGTGTGTGTGTGTATATATATGTGTGTGTGTGTGTGTGTGTGTGTATATATATATATATATATATGTGTGTGTGTGTATATATATATATATATATGTGTGTGTGTGTGTATATATATATATATATATGTGTGTGTGTATATATATATATATATATGTGTGTGTGTTATATATATATGTGTGTGTGTGTATATATATATATGTGTGTGTGTGTATTATATATATATATGTGTGTGTGTATATATATATATATTGTGTGTGTGTGTGTATATATGTATATATGTGTGTGTGTATATATATATATATGTGTGTGTGTGTATTATATATATTATATATAGTGTGTGTTTTACATATATATATGTGTGTGTGTTTTATATATATATATGTGTGTGTGTGTATGTGTGTGTGTGTGTGTTGTACTGTGTGTGTGTGTGTACGTGGTGGGTGTGTGTGTGTGTGTGTTGTGTGTGTGTGTGTTGTGTGTGTACATATGTGTGTGTGTGTGTGTGTGTGTGTACATATGTGTGTGTGTGTGTGTGTACATATGTATGTGTGTGTGTACGTTGTGTGTGTTTTGTGTACGTATGTGTGTGTGTGTGTGTGTGTGTGTGTACATACATGTGTGTGTGTGTGTACGTGTGTGTGTGTGTGTGTGTGTGTGTTGGGACTGCTAATCCAGCACTGCTTGTTCACACTCATCGGCCAGTTCCCTTCACTCCCATGAGTCATCTCTTTGCTGGCCGGTCAGTGAGAATTGTCCACATCACTCAGGCAGTAATGTGGACACCTGAAAGAAGTACCCCTCCAGGAAGCACAGTGAAGAGTAGTATTTGGCAGGGTGGATTTGATTTAAATCACTAATCGGTAAGGCTTGATGTAAATCCTAGTTTTCTACATAAAGACTAATTCTTGCTGGTATAACTTTAATATGCAAGTAGATGAAGATTTTTAGAATAACAACTTTTCATATTAGTTTTTTTATCCCCAGTTTAATAGGTTAATCATTCATATTTGGACAACTTTTCTGTTGTACTTCGGAAGGAGAAAAATAATCATTATCTTAATAATAATTTAAATAGATTTATTCAACTGAAAGAATAACATTCCAGCATATGTGATTTGCTTAAACATCCATGTTTGTTAACTAATTTGGCTAAACAAAATATATATATTTTAAGAAACGTAGACTGTCAGCCCCTTCCTCCTCACACTTAGTTTCACTTTCTTCTTGTGCAGATCTATTCCACTCCAAACAATCAGAAAAATATTGTTTCTATTCTATTCACTGAACTTCTTGAAACTTAGCACTGAAGGGGTTGATTCTGTATTCATAGGTTTGTAGAAGTTAGGATGAAGGTCTTTTTCTTAACTCTGTTCATGTTATAACATTTTTGCTGTGAAGAAGAGGCATGTGATCTCCGCTGAGTCAAATTCAGTTTTGAGAACTGCAAAAGTAAACCAACATCTGTGATAATATCTTGTAGGCAGAGAAACTGCCCAATAATCTTACAAAAAAACCTCTGGAAGAGCATGACATTGTGAATGGATTCATGGAATTTATTTACCAAACAAATTAAACATATACAGCCTTATTCTACATAATTAAAAAACTAATCTTTATTTCATGATGGAATAACCTTTGGATGGTAATATATATTTTCCTCCTCAAAAAGCATTTTATTTAACCACTTCCCTACCGGCCGTTGCATATAAACGGCCGGACGGTGGCACTGCAGGGTCGGGTGGCCGTCTATAAACGGCCTCCCCGCACCCTGCTTGTGCTCGCTCCCTGGGAGCGCGCAGCACCGCGATCCGGTGCTCAGTCAGTACTTCTCAATGAGTGCATGAATGCACACAGAGAGAGAAATGATTGCTTTTACATTCTATATGGGTGTAAAAGCAATGTGTAAAAAAAAAGAAAAAAAAAAAAAAATCTTCATCACCCCCCACAAGTAGTACAGTGTCACCATGGTGACACTGTACTGCTAGGGTGACAGTATGTAAAAAAAAAAAAAAAAAATAATAATATAAAAATGTAAAAAAAAAGTTTAAAAATTATAAGTTTTGTTATAAACTAATTTGGATTTTTTTTTTTTTTTTACTAAAAAGATAACGGAATAAATTTTGGCAAAGATTTATGATGAAATATTTGCAAAATTTTATAAAAAAACCTTTTTTTCAAAATTTTTGGACTTTTTCATTTACATAGCAAAAAAAATTAAAATCCCAGCGGTGAATAAATACCACCAAAATAAAGCTTTATCTGTTTAAAAAAAATGGTGGAAAATTAATTTGGGTACAGCGTTGCATGACCGCGTAATTGTCATTCAAAGCGTGATAGCGCTGAAAAAAATTGCCCTGGTCAGGAAGGGGGTAAAAGTGTCCGGTCTTGAAGTGGTTAAAAAAAATCTGATTTTAAAGAAAAGAAATCCGATTTTTTTTTTTTTTTTTTTTTTTTTTTTTTTATCATTGATTTTTATCCACCCTGGTATGTGGTGATGAATGATCATGTGACAATGGCTTTAGCTTTTTTTTTTTTTTTTTTTTTTACTCCTGAAAGTTAAAAGTGTCTGAGAATACTTTGTACTAGTGTCATGCACTCTCTATAAATTGCTCTGCTCTTTGTATATTACCGTGTGCTCCGGGCATCCTATGAATTTTGTATCATGTTATTACTCGCTTCTGTGTTTGAGTGTAATTAAATATTTAGCTTTTCAGTGAGAACACTTTATTCTATGTGGACCACACAATGGCTGTAATAACTGTGTCTGTATTATGTAGAGGCAGTATAATTCTAGTATTTGATAGGTGCTTTGTGAAAGGGCTTTTGCTGAGTCTAGATTCTCTAGGAGTTTCTGCCTCCTGCAGTGGAACTATTGGGGTCACTTTCCATTCTGGCTACCCTGCCGTGAATACACTCATTTTCCACGGGGTTCACTCATGGATTGCAGCGCTAATTACCAATACAGTTAAGAAGAGCCCTTGTTAGCCCGACAGTACAAAGCTGTGATGAGTCAGGTTGCATCATTCTAGAAGTTGAGTCATTTGTTTCAGGCAGTTGGGAAAAAAATATCTTTAAGCTATGGATGCCGCTCAGCTAAGTGGCTCATACAGGCAAGACCCATCTTTTCTATGTGCAAATTAAGTTTTCCAACAAAGCCCTGGGAAACACAAGTGTAGTTTTCTGTGATTCCAATTACAACCAGTCAGTCGGCTTTTCTGCTGCTCAGAGATGGGCTTTAAAGTCCATGTTCAGAGCACATTGAGTGTAATGTGTCCATTGGCATATTGTTCTCCAAAACCGTATACTGTATAGGTGGATATTTAAAGCATCCACATTTAAAAATTAAAAACGCTCCGCAAACGCCGGACCAACTCTTGTCAAACGCTATGGGGGAGTTTGGCAAGAGTTGGAAAAACAGTCAAGTGTGAACGAGCGCTAAGTGTTGGGTGCATTTCTGGAGGATCAGCAGGTATGTTCCTGTACTCGCAGGGTCTTTAAATGGACAAGACATATGCAGTAGATCACTGCAATACATGCACATGTATGTATTTGTTGTTAGATTCCGTATGTATTACTGAAAGTGGTTCTAAAAGTTGAAGGGTTTTATACCATCTTGCATTCTATGCATGAAGGTAAATAACCTTTGCTCGGCTCCCCCCAACTTTCCACGACCATATAATGTATTTTTTTAGTTTCTGCGCATGAGCGGTCTTGGTCACTCAATTTTTGTTTTCCATACAAATATTGTAATTACACGAAAATCGTATGTTCTGTTATCCTACAAGAGACATTTTTCATGCCTGTCCCTTCAGATATTTTCACATGAACTGCTGTGATCAGCTCTTGAAAGCTGTGTCCTAACAATCAGATTATTGGACGATCGCTCAGAATGCATTTTTCCATCCAGTTTTCTCACGATGTGTGCTAGGTATAAGGCAGGACATAGATTACGCAACTTTCTTTCCTTCCACAACAGATGGAAGGAAAGAAAATTGCTCGATTACACCATCAACACAGTGCAGAAAACCCTGACAGAGGCTGATTGTTCACATTTGATAGATTATTATTATACAGGATTTATATAGCACCAACAGTTTGCTCAGCGCTTTACAATATAACGGGAGACAATACAGCAATAATACAGTTCAATACAAGAGGGATAGGAGGGCCCTGATCCTCGGAGCTTACAATCTAGGAGGGATAGATTGGCTTGTGTACAACCAGGGTGCCCATATATGGATTGTATGGGCCACTGCTGCATCAGCCAAATTTCAATCCATGTATGGCTGGCTTAAAGCGTTACTAAACTCCTGTCCGTAAAATCAGTCTGTATATGCAGCAAATCATGCGTGTTGTACTCACTGTGGAACCTAAGGGATTCATCTTCCACATTGCGTAAAAAAAAGGTGGTTTGATCCGGTCTTCTCTGATCCTCCCCTTCTACTGTCCCCAATCCATCTGCTGATAGACCAGAGCCTTGGGGGCCAGCTGCACATGCTCTGTTTTAGTGTTTTTTTTTTTTTCTTTTTTGTGATCAGCACTGTCCAAACAGAAGGACAGAGATTATGCAGCCTCATAGGACATTCGGCGCATAATGAAATCTCCTACAAGCTTTAACCAGTGCATGGCCGGACACTGATGGAAGTCACCAGACTGCAATATACTGATGATGGAAAAAAAAAAAGGTGTTTAGCAGTTAATAGTTAATAAAATAAAATAATAAATTCCATGTTCTGTGTACTGCGGGAGACTGGATATAGTGAATGCAGGGTCCGGGGAGATCGGATATAGTGGATGCGGGTTCTGTGGAGAGCGGATATAGTGGATGCAGGGTCCGGGGAGAGCGGATATAGTGGATGCAGGGTCCGGGGAGAGCGGATATAGCGAATGCAGGGTCCGGGGAGACCGGATATAGCGAATGCAGGGTCCGGGGAGAGCGGATATAGTGAATGCAGGGTCCGGGGAGATCGGATATAGTGGATGCAGGGTCCGGGGAGAGCGGATATAGTGAATGCAGGGTCCGGAGAGAGCGGATATAGTGGATGCAGGGTCCGCGGAGAGCGGATATAGTGGATGCGGGGTCCGGGGAGAGCGGATATAGTGGATGCGGGGTCCGGGGAGAGCGGATATAGTGGATGCGGGGTCCGGGGAGAGCGGATATAGTGGATGCGGGGTCCGCGGAGAGCGGATATAGTGGATGCGGGGTCCGGGGAGAGCGGATATAGTGGATGCGGGGTCCGGGGAGAGCGGATATAGTGGATGCGGGGTCCGGGGAGAGCGGATATAGCGGATGCGGGGTCCGGGGAGAGCGGATATAGCGGATGCGGGGTCCTGGGAGACCGGATATAGCGGATGCGGGGTCCGGGGAGACCGGATATAGCGGATGCGGGATCCGGGGAGACCGGATATAGCGGATGCGGGGTCCGGGGAGACCGGATATAGCGGATGCGGGGTCCGGGGAGACCGGATATAGCGGATGCGGGGTCCGGGGTTTAGTAACACTTTATGCTCAAACATCACCTTCCTCTAGGAGAGATTTGAGGTGGTAAAATCCTGAAATAAAAAGGTTGGGTTTTTGATACTTGATTGGGGGTGGAAATGAGGATTTTTTTATTCAGTTGCCCTCTCTAGGCCTGCACTGTATCTGGGGGAACAGGTAGCGTGTTCTGGGAATACTTGGCAGATGGTAGTTCAGGCAAGTTTCAGCTCCAATGAAATTCACTCTTATCTTCTGACAAAACTTGTCCAGACTGCTGCTGATTGTACAGTTTGTGAGAGTTCACCCAACACTGCAGATAAAGGAGCTAGTGTTATTACACATGTAAAATACATTTGGCTGAAGCCCAGAGTTAAATCCTCATGACTATGACCATGGCTATGAAAGGAAGCCTGTTTTCTAGATCATTCCTGCTCCATTGGCCTCAGGGGTGCTCCCAACCAGTGCCCCTAAAGATGTGCACATGATCACAGGATGGATTCACTCTGCTTGTGTCATACGGTGACCGTGATGCTGCAGATATTGAGATCCTTCATACCAGGCAATGTTTTTCCAGTGTAAGTTTTGCTATTCCTTTGCCCCCTGTAGCCTCATTTTCCTGTTCTTAGTTGTCAGGTTTGGTCTTCTGCTGATGTACCCCCTCCCTCCTAGATTGTACGCTCGAAAGAGTAGGGCCCTCTAACCCCTCGTGTGCTGCTTGATGATACTGTTCTGTTTCATGTATTGTCCCCCCTCTATTGTACAGCGCTGAGCAAACCCCTTGGTGCTATATAAACTCGATAAATAAATAAATAAATGTAGCAGCCAACGTAAGCTCTGGCTCACACTATTGCCGACCATACAGTGTGCATTTGCTCAGGCATGGCAGCCCATTAATTAGAATGGGCTGCTGTAAATGCAGCTGCAGGGAAACCGTAAGGTCGTTTTGACCCTGCGGTTCCTGCGTATGCAGTGCAGGTTGAGATGTGTGGGAGTGCTATTCAGAATCAATGGCAGCCCTGCGTGTCTCCTAAGAGCAGCATGATTCAGGTGTGGGAACCGATGCCATACCTGCCGCCAGAACGCACAGTGACAACCGAGCCTAAAGTGGAACTTCACTCTCTCAATGAACACGGCCTATTTGTGATCCTTCTGCTGCAAGCGTCAGTAAGCAGATTGGAATGTATATCACATTTGCATCCTTTAAACTTTGTGTTGTGTAATTCAATTACTTCCTGGTTTCTAGGCCTTGGCAAATGATGTCATACATCCCAGGAGTCTTTTAAGGGGGGTTTTCTCAGCTGAGCACACCATCCTGTCTGCATGCCTGAGCTAAGGGCAGATGGATTTCAGGAAGTAAATGCTTCATGAATAATCTGTCCTTACTTAAGTTGGCAACAGGGGGTTGGTTGTTTTTTTTTTTTTTTTTTTAAACTGAATTTTTTGCAAAATAAAGCAGGAAGACATGAATGGATGGGGGAGTTTGCTTTCAATGTGTGTGTATATGTATATATATACAGTTGCAAGAAAAAGTATGTGAACCCCTTGGGATTACGTGGAATTTTGCATGAATTGGGCATAAAATGTGCTCTGAACGTCATCTAAGTCACAACAATAGAAGAACACAGTCTGCTGAACATAATACTACACAAACATTAGATGTTGCCATGGTTTAATTGCACATAACATGTAAACATTCACAGTGCAGGGTGGAAAAAGTATGTGAACCTCTGGACTTCATAACTGGTTGACCCTCCTTTGGCAGCAATAACCTCAACCAAACGTTTCCTGTAGTTGCAGATCAGACCTGCACAACGATCTGGAGTCATTTTGGACCACTCCTCTTCACAAAACTGTTTCAGTGTAGCAATATTCTTGGGATGTCTGGTGTGAATCGCTCTCTTAAGGTCATGCCACAGCATTTCAATAGGGTTGAGGTCAGGACTCTGACTGGGCCACCCCAGAAGGCGTATTCTGTGCTGTTTGAAGCCATTGTTTTGTTGAATTACTTGTATGCTTTGGGTCATTGTCCTGTTGCATCACCCATCCTCTGCGGAGCTTCAGTTGGTGGACAGATGGTCGTACGTTTTCTTGCAAAATGTCTTGATAAACTCTGGAATTCATTTTCCCATCAATGACAACAATCCGTCCAGGCCCTGAGGCAGCAAAGCAGCCCCA